AGTGAGTCTTTTTGTTTGTCCAACGTATGCAAACTTCACCTATTGGGTGATACAGTTAAATGAAATCGTGAATTCCATTGGTTGCATGGAGGATTTCATCATGAGCTGACATCAGTTAAAGAACCACTTGAAAACCTGAGAGTATTGGACTGCTGTTTCTTCCTAGTTTACGACTCTTCAGCAGCACGCACCCACCAGGGTTCGCACCCAGGACCCTCTGGTTACAAGGTGAGCTCGTAGACCATTGAGCCACTGGGACCCAATCCAATGGTCCTTGAATTCTAACTTCTGCCAATTATTCTGATGCTCACTAGCGACTGGCCCTGTTCAGGCAGTGATCTGGTATTCTTGTGGGGAGCCGTGACCAGTAGGCTACAGCAGGTAGAAGATGAGGCAGTAACTCATCGAAGAAGACATTGTAAAATGGTCGCGCTATGTCGTGAATTGGCAGAAGTTAAAATTCAAGGACCATTGGATTGGGTCCCAGTGGCTCAATGGTCTACGAGCTCACCTTGTAACCAGAGGGTCCTGGGTACGAATCCTGGTGGGTGCGTACTGCTGAAGAGTCGTAAACTAGGAAGAAACAGCAGTCCAATACTCTCAGGTTTTCAAGTGGTTCTTTAATTGATGTTAGCTCAGGATGAAATCCTCTATTCAATCAAACAAAGTCCTTACAAAACCAATACTTGAAAAATTCCGTTGGTGACCATAGGTAATCCTGCCTTACTCATGCCTCTGCTTTAAGCTATTCTGTTACTAATCACTAGGCATGCAGCATCATCATATAGCTTTAGAATGAGGGGCGAATATATGGCATATCTCTTTTTTGAAGTGGCGCCAACTTTATCATGTGGGTATCAAGGCGTTTCCACAAATACACCAAAATATATCAGCATGGTTTCATGAAAATTCAGAATGATATACGTTTGACTTTTTGCCTTGCTACCTGATTTAATCCATTACATTGTGCAATTGCAGCAAACGCGACTCAGTGAGAGAATGTAATGCTACCCACAATATGTGCGCCAGAAAATATTTTTAATGCAAAATCGCATTTAAAAAGCATTCAGAAACTATAACTTACTGTAAGACCGCTATAGCAGCAAACTACGGCGCTACAGTTAGAGAGAATATTCATTAAATCTGCTCTCGAACGAGGCTTATGGATGTTTATGGTACTGTACTGCGTAATTTTGACGCAGCTGTCAAGTTACCCTATTCTATCAAGTCCCTTTGTGAAGCCAGTGAAATTAATCTATTGGCTGTCGATCTATCCTTTGTTCGACGGCGGTTCTCAGTATTGCAATTCGTTACGCGTACGAGCCATTTTTCTTGGTTCTAATAAGTTCTGGGAGTTTTCTACCCGATCCGGGACTAGTTCGAAAACGATCATGACTACAGAAAAGCTGCTATGTGGGCCTGAGTCGTTCTGATTTGGGAGTTTAATAAGATAAACCTTTTCTAAGTAGTCAGGTAGGTAACACAACTTCTGCCTTGCTGGCGTGAACATTTCCCCGACGTATCCCGATTGGTCGTGTCGCAATACGTTAATGTGTTGTCCACAAGAGGTAGTAATGGTACGTGTTTGCAGTGATGATATAAGTTGACGCTTTGTCGTTCTGTTGATGATTGACTAGAGCTTTGAAATCTGTATTGGCATGTTGCACAGTATGCATGTATATTATGGACAGTCAAATAGCCACACCGTTCCTTGTTATTTCGTGTGTCCTATATCACTCGTAAACTTTGCTGTAAAAGCAAAATGGCGAATTTCACGTAATGACCATTTGACAGCTTTCTCACTGAGTAAATAAGAGGCTTATGATCTGTATTGTTTGTGAGCTTTCTGCTTTCTAGTGTATAGTGAAAGAGTTTGAAGACTTTGCAGATTCCTTTTCACTTTTGATCAAGAAGAGAATGACCTATTACCACTGGATTGAGTTGTTTACCAAAAATACAGCTGCTTTCTAGCCATTGTCAACCGGCTGATTAAGACCTGTTTCTACAGACTGATCGGATGCATCTACGATTAATGCAAGAGGACCACATGTATTTCGCTAAGGCATCTTTAAGCTGTCCAGCTGCAACGGATGCCTCCTTGGACAACAGAGAGGTCTTTGTATCTTCACTCAGTGCATTAGTAATGGACTGCCGAGTCAGGTGTAAAACGCGTGTAGATGTTACTCAATCCCAGAAAAATTAGCATTTAATGAGGAAATGGCAGTGGTGTGTTCCCAGTGCCGTCATTGACATATCCCGGGAACTCTGGTGTTCCTGAACCAAAATTGCCACTACTCATATCGATTATCACGCAGTTCGCTTCTAGCTTGCGTAATGCTGCTCGTATGTGTTCATACCTGGGCTAGTCATAAGCAGGCCATCGACGTAAGCTTTCAAAAGTGGCACTACACGCGACAAGTTATCCATAAATCTTTGAAAAGTTTGTGCGGCGTTCTGTTGACCGATGAGGCGCTTACAAGGTCATACGATCCGAATAGAGGCGGCAAAGGCTGTTTTAGGTATGTCCTCCTCAGTCGCTGGAATACCGTCACTGACGCAGTCTAAGCTACCCTTTTGTGACCAAATTGGCAACTGCAAAACTAGTTGTAAAGTCCTTAATACGGGGTGCTGATTAACTATCTGGGGCCGTTCGCTTGTTAGGAGCTCTGTAATCCCCATGACAGCGCCAGCGGGTTTAACTTTTCATGGAAAACGTGTGCAGCATTGAAGCCCTTCGGTCACTCGTGACTTGGATGTTTTCTAACTGAAGCATGTAGTTGAATTCCTCCTTCACTATTTTTAGTTCGTCATGGACTAATCTTCTTGGTCTAGCAAAGATGGAGTGGCCCTATAGAATCAGTTATTTCTGGACCAACCTTGGAAGCATAGGACATGGTCGCTGCTAGATTTAGAAACCCTGCTTGTGATTTCCGGAACGTATGGGTTAGTACTGGAGGGGAATGAAGTGAGCTCAAGAGTTAGCAGGTAGTATAACCATAGGTCAGATTTCGCAGGATAGATGAACACACAACAATCAGTAGCGTTACTTCTAGATGAAATCAATCGTAGAAGAGCTCAAAGTTTTCAGGTGGCACAACTAACTCGTTTCCCGAAATACCGTTCCAGAAAGTCCTTGCTGTAGACCTCCAGTTTTAGGTCAGTGGCAGTGTAAAACTCCATGGGGGCCGTAGCTTACAACCGATGTCAACAGTCAGTATGTTCTGACTGAAAGTAGCGATGTGGGTTACAATGTGACGCGTTACTCTCACTGTCTCACCTGGGAATTTATTTGATACCGATACTGACAGCAGTTTCTGTATCGGCAAAATATCCGACCCCAAATATTTTACCGTAGAATAGGCGAGTGTCCGGCCTTTTATTCTCAGTAGTCATTTTATGAAAAGAGAATAATCATTTGCCTGTTGCTTGTCAGGTAGTTAAGGCCTGCTGCACGGTTGCATACTTCCGTTGATTCTGTGGCAAAATGACACTGGTAACCACAGAGCTACCTCGTCGATGTGATTTACTCAGGCTCCATTTTCCTGAATGAGCTCTACGGTTTAGATATCTGATCTTATGTTGACCACAAATCCCCAGAACATTAAGCTTTAATCTTTGTTAGTATGTTTCGCCTGCCTTCTAAATCTCCTAATCTCCAGTAGTCGATTAGCAATGTGGTCTAACTGCTCGGGAGAAGATTCTTAATATTGCTCATCCAGTGTCTGTTACACTTACTCAGGGGGGTGGGTTCCACCCAGCATTCCTTAAGCATCTCGCTGTCACCAACAGGAGGCTGTAGGTGGCTGAATAACCGTGACAAGGCACCATCTTTCATGTTCTTTCACTGAAGAAACCACGGTAGGTAGTTATGTTTTACCATCGATAGGCGTTTTATCACCTCACGATTAGGCGCCGCATATAGTTACTCTCATGGAAAATACATGTTCCTCCACCTCCTTGCTAATCTGATAATGATAGCTGAAGACGCACACCCTTATACCTGGTAGTTTGAGACATCATACTATACCCGTGAAAGTGGTGCTCGAATTGAGCAAGCCGTCGTTCGGGGTCATGCCGATCAAATTCACGAAATCTGACGTTTATGGTTACTAAAGAATCGAGCTCAGCAGAAGTAGAGTTTTTGGAATCACTTCCAAGCCTTTCAAATGAAACGTGAGAATGAATGAAAGAGGTGAATAAAAAATTACGTAAAAGTAAAAATCTCCGAAGAAAACCAAAAAGTACAAAAATAATCAGGCTGTAGTTAACCATGATGAAATACACGACTTGTTGCGAACGAAATGGGTCCACAAATGTTGAAACTGATATTTGTAGTTATATAATTGCTAAAATATACAAGCAGCAGCTTTGATTGTTAAAGAAAATTCATTTCGGTTTTGGGCGTTTATTTCTGAAAGCACTGAGGTGGAGAGAACTAGTTAAACACTGGGAAATACATCCGTGATGACGTATCGTTCAATAAATGAACCCTTGCATATCATGAGGAAGATAGAGTTTATGAATGGTTACTCGTATCTTCCCTCTAAATTATTTAGTCGCCAACTACCTCTGGGGGGCAACACCCTTCTTTGTTGAACAGACCCTACACTGTTTCAGAAGCTGAATGATCAAATGACTCGCCTCGTAACCAGAATACTGTTGTTCGATTCAAAGTGCTGTTATGGATGAAGACGAAACAGATGTCAAGAAATTCCTGGTTTCCAGTGCTTCTCTAGTTGGCGTCACCTCGTGATTTAAACTGAAACCGACCAAATCCCAGCAAGCTGATACTCGAAAAGTCCGGCATACTATTTTGAAATGAAAGCCAGATTTTATTCGTCGAGATGGTGGCAATAGCTTTCAAAGAAATTCTAATCCCCAGAATATTATTTCTGTCTCTAAATGACTTTTATCTAGAGTACAGAAACACTCCATGGTTTTGTTATAATGCATCAGTGTTACCTTATAACACCACCTACTTTTACAAAATTGTTTTTTAGAACAATGTTGTTACGGTTTTTCCGTCATGTAGTTGAATGGTAAGTTATGCATGTATTTTATATTATTCATAGTCTTACTGGAGACAATACCACTGCAGGGTGTTTTTCTGTCTTTGGAGCATATCTGATACATCTCACCTACGGATATCTGTATTCACTAAGTAAGTATATTTGCAGTATGTCTTTCTTTCTTCACACTAGCAAACATGGTGCCATATATAATGGGATATCTTAAAACTTACAGAGATCCAATGATTTCAATTCAGACTTCCGTATGGTTTTCAGGAATATCTTTTGCCTTATTTGGACTCTGTATGCCAGTTGGAGGTGTTTTATCGTGTAGGATTGGATATCGACCAGTTGTAGCTGTTAGCTGCTTTTTGCTGAGGTAGAGTGACTGTATTAAGATGCTCTTATATGCTAAAAACTTCATTATTGTACTCACTATAATTTTATGTCTATCTTCAAACTCCAGATAACTTTAGTAGATTTTTTGGTTTAAATTTGCCATTGAAAAATATGGTTTTAGATTGAAGATTTACATTTATTCGGGTTATATTCAACTGTCCTGAATGCTGTTTAGAAAGTGTCTGATCATCAAATTGTCCCGAAATTCATGAGTTCATTAAGAAAGTTGTCATGTATTCGCTTTCATCTAGTAGGTTCTAGGACATTTATTGACTTTATGTTCAGAGAAAAATTAGTAGTACGGCAATTATTGCCACTAATATCCCGCTTCCTATGCACGGTAGACGACTAACAGGTGGAACAGCGAATTCTAATCACGGTAGCGTCATAGTTATAACATATCTCATACTGCTAATCATATATAACCTACTTTTGATACCACTTCTCTCGGAGTCTACTGAGGCCACTGCAAACGAGTGAAGTGGTGGACTTTGCCAAGGCTTGCTGAAGATTAGCGGTCGTTACCTAACTACCAGGAGGCGAGTACATAGAAATTACTTTTGTTAACGCTTGCCCATAAAAATGATATTTGATACTTGATTTTACGTTGCTGCTTTTCGTAATTTAATGCAATTTGGACATTTTAACTTTTCTGTACATTGTGGGCTTATTACAACAGGATGCAGTATGCGACTACATTCCGGTCAAATAATTGGTGGTTAGATGTCAGTTTAGACTTTTATGAGTATGTTCTGGCCTTTGTTTCGTTTGTCTAAGTAGGTCTCAAATCTAAGATAATAATTAATTCACGATTCAAGGAAGGAGGTAGACGTAAAGTCTTATGCTCCTGCTATTAGATGTTTTCTGAAACGTCTAAAGTATAGCTGAGGTGTTTAAAACAAGAACCATTTGGTAATACAAAGTCTTTCAACCGACGTGAGGCTATGCTTAGAAGAGTTGGTCTATTAATTTTATTGCTAACGAATGCCTTACTTATTGTTGTTGGAGTTGTGAAATTTTCTATGTACAGATTTTATTTATATTTCTCTGGGACTAATCACATCAATATATAAGAGCTTCCAATTGTGTACTATCTGTGAGTAGATACAGACGTCTCTTGAAGTGTGCTGGTGTCACTGAGTTAATAACATTCCTGCATACCACTTGATCAGCACTTGTTTGGTCACTACAATCTAGAAGTACTTAACTCATGATTTTCTAGGATACTATGTTTCAGTGTTTCGCTTTTCTATAATTATAATTTGTAGATGGTTGGTTTGAAGGTACCAAACTTGCTTGAATGAAATTTCGTTTACTTGTTTTACTCATAAACTGCAGGAATGTCTGTTGAAGATATATTAACTTTAGACATGCGATGTCTATCAAACATGATATGTCTGGTACACCTTTTTCTTTTCCACTGTTAACTTTAAGGTTTGCTAGTATTCCAGTTCATTTAAGTTTTTCAGATCTGAGAGGCATCCAGTTACTGTGTGAAATACTGTTTGATTTAGTTTTTAGAACGTTTTCAGAAGTTTAAGCAAGGCAAGAAAGCATATTTATTTATTTATTTATTTTGATTTACAGCTTGATTCCACACCGTATTTTCAGTACAAGTATGGAATTTTCAGCATGGATATCGGTAGCCCAAATTCAGGCCGACCATAGATATCGGGTGTGCGCCGGCAGGGTATCGAACCCCGGACCATGTGCATGGTCGGCGAGAGTCCTAACCACTGTGCCACAGCTCATTTTCTATTTCATAGCTTTCCTCGACCTTCTCATAGCCTAAAATGACAGAAGTTACCACAACTGAAAATGTATGATGCCCTACAAAAGTTATTTCAACTCAAATGGTGTTTAATAATTCTTAACATAGTAATGGAACAAGAAGTGCGAATATAACAATAGTTATTGAGTGAAAAACTATGGTTTATGTGTGCATGATATGGTGGGTGTTCGTGAAAAAAAAGGTGAGAATAAAAATATGTGGTAGGTTAAGGTAAAATTAATACATAAACAAATAACTAAGCAAATGGGAATATTAATAATGAGTCCAGCTCAGTGGTCAAAAATCAAATGCCAAAAATTGTGAGGCAACAAAATTAGCAGAAAAGGGGATATCCAATCACTGGGATAGTGCAAAATTAATCCTACTACATTTCTCTATCGAAAAGCAGTTGGTTCTGAAAAGTAAAGTAACCATGATTCTCTTTGAATATCGATTTAGAAGTTATGACTGATTCGACCATATGTCCTATATTATTCAGGTACCTGGTAATTTCAATTGCGAACACTTTCTCAATTTTCAAACAAATACTGTTAGGGATATACCGAGAAAATCTAGTAGACGATCTTCCCTTAGTCCCTCCTATGTAGGTGTTTCCGCAAGTGCATGGAAATTAGTAGATGCAGTTAGATTTCACATGAGCAGGATACATATATACTTCGTATTACCAAGCAGGACTGTTCTAGAGGTGGGATATATCATTTTCAATGCATCTTTAGTCATCTTTTCTGTTTTTGTTGATGTCGCTTCTCATTTGCTTCCCAGTTATCATCAGCTACTCATCAATTTCGTTTTCTAAACATAAATTACTCGCTTTATTGAACGGCGTTTTGGAAAAACTTCATTCGTAATTTTCTTGGCAAATATTACAATATTTATTTTATTTTTTTTTTTAATTTTGATTTACAGCTTGATTCCACACCGTATTTTCAGTACAAGTATGGAATTTTCAGCATGGATATCGGTAGCCCAAATTCAGGCCGACCATAGATATCGGGTATGCGCAGGCAGGGTATCGAACCCCGGACCATGTGCATGGTCGGCGAGAGTCCTAACCACTGTGCCACCGACGCACATATATATTTCCTTTCTATGGATAGTTTTTCAGTGATATTGTTATTTCTCCATTTTATACTAAGATTTAGACAAATGAACTGGTTGTTGCGTTTATAGTTCTTTGTAAAATGAATATGAGGGTGAGCTATATTGAGTTTCACAAACATCGCCGATGAATGGTCCAGACGACTGCAAGCAACAAATATGTCGTTAATATACCTTCAGTAATATGTGGTCTTCTTCGTCTCTTATTTCAAATACATTTTTCTTCAAGATAGGCTATAGATGTGTCCACAAAAACAGGGTTTGTAGTAGAGCTCAGTTTGCTGGTACAGTTGGTTACTGGAATAGAACTGAAAATTCTTTGTACATAGAAGCGACAATTGTCCCAAGTAGTTTTCAGCATAAAGAAGAAATTTTGATTATTGATATGTGATTACCACTGTTTCTTCAATGGATATGCTTGTCAATAGTAAATGGACATTATATGATTGTACGAGTCTGTATGAAATATCTGTTTTCTTCAGCTTTATTCAAAAGTAGTACTGGTTCCTTTGTACACAGCCCCTATTTTACGATTTCATCAAGAAACAATGGACACTGTGGAGTTGAACAGTTGTGTAATCAATACGGGTGTGTTAATATATAAATAATATAATCTCCGTTCAAGTGTTACTAATAACGTACAAATTCTCGAAGGTAATAATTTAAGGGGCCAACTCTACATAATGTTTTCCTTTAGATGTCAAGTGCATGCAAAAGCAAATCGGTTTTCCAATTTCGCTTCCTCATCCCATTATGACTATTGGCGTACTGTGGATGTAGTGCATGTGTTTGAAGAGGCCATCCACGGGTCAAAGGATGTTTAACGTTTGATGATGCCAATCTTCAAAAAATTCTAAAATTTTGCATCACTAGACAGATCTGTTCAAAGCTAGAAATTATTGATTTCACAACTTAAATTATAAAAAAGGTCAGACACATTGTAAAAGCAAGGCAGTAGCAAAGAATATTGTGTTGGTGGTTAACATGAAAACATATGTTGAAAAATTCCAGTTAACTAGGCGTGAAATCTGTGCTATCACATACGCTTGAAGAGAAGTGAGCAAGAGAGAGTAAGAGAGAGAGAGAGAGAGAGATAGAGGACAGCGATAGGAGTAGAGATCGAGAAATGTGTTGTCTTAACTGCGAAAATTGAAAAATAATCATAACACTCAAACACAACTTTCAAATATCCAATCGGACATCAGCTGACTCAAGAATTGTACGACATAAACTTGTGTACATGAATGAATCACCACGAGTACGCTTCATTTTTATACCGAGTATACGACTATGTTGATCACGAGAGTTGGATGCTCCACGTGTTGACGCAGAACCTTTCGATGTCGTAGATGTATTCGTGTTTATGCCGCATGATGGATTCATAGAAGCATCATTATTATTGGAGGAATGAACAGAAGACATTCCACCAGGGGATGAAGATCTTAGCGTCATACGACGTCGAACTGAAGCTTCCACTGCTCGAGCTGAGACATATACTAATTCTAATTCAAAGGACAGAACTGTTTTACCCCAATCATTGTCAAACACACACACAGAAAACCGGACCCCTTTAGCGTAAAACGTATCGAGTGTTGTTTTAAAGCTGCAGTGATTCGATCAAATACCTGACCAGGACTTAAATCATTTCGAACAATTAAAACATTATTCAAGTGACGAGTTTTTCTCAATCGATCAACAACCAATCGACCATCTGGTACAACCTTTTTCGGTGTAAGCGCTTTTCGCAGACGTCCAAAATTACGCCAACCGCTAACTTCAGCACTGGCGCCAGTGCTAGCGCCAGCACCAGAAGTCGAACTAGTACCACCACCACCACCACCAGCATATTCATCAGCTGAACTTTGAGATTGTGAATAGTCATCACCACCGATGACAGCACCAGGACTTGAGTGAAGCGATGATACGTCATGCTTTAGTTTAGATGCTCCTGATGTATAGGCTACTACTGATAGATTGTCTTCACTTGTCGTCTCACTGACGGATATAGGATGCCGTCTATCCGTCAATTGTGTATTATGAAATTCACTTGTTAAATTGATCATCTGTGAATCAATCGATCGACTTGGAGAGATACCCGGATGCGCCGTTATTTTACCTCGAACTGGTTGAATTTTCCGATTAACTGAAATTGATGAATCACGATAAAGTGAATGAGGTGGGAAATTTTCAATATCGCCTTTTGTAGGAATATTCCAGTGTTTATTATTATTATGATTATTATTGTGAGAAGTGAATATGGACGATCTTCGACGCCATCCATGGGTAGTTGAAGGTTTTATGGGTCACCCTGTGGATTTAGATGAAGAGAAAATCCCAATGTCGCCACTGAACATGCAGATTGTTGCTGAAATAACTGCTTATACTCGGATTCCGAAAGTGAAGGTAGCTAGAATGTTACAAAAGCGTCCATATGATTATATAATGGCTACCTATATGATTATGGAGTCAGTTTTAGAAGAAGAAGATGTGTTCATGAAAACCTATTATGATTAGGTTTTCATGAAAACATCTTCTTCTTCTAAAACTGACTCCATAATCATATAGGTAGCCATTATATAATCATATGGACGCTTTTGTAACATTCTAGCTACCTTCACTTTCGGAATCCGAGTATAAGCAGTTATTTCAGCAACAATCTGCATGTTCAGTGGCGACATTGGGATTTTCTCTTCATCTAAATCCACAGGGTGACCCATAAAACCTTCAACTACCCATGGATGGCGTCGAAGATCGTCCATATTCACTTCTCACAATAATAATCATAATAATAATAAACACTGGAATATTCCTACAAAAGGCGATATTGAAAATTTCCCACCTCATTCACTTTATCGTGATTCATCAATTTCAGTTAATCGGAAAATTCAACCAGTTCGAGGTAAAATAACGGCGCATCCGGGTATCTCTCCAAGTCGATCGATTGATTCACAGATGATCAATTTAACAAGTGAATTTCATAATACACAATTGACGGATAGACGGCATCCTATATCCGTCAGTGAGACGACAAGTGAAGACAATCTATCAGTAGTAGCCTATACATCAGGAGCATCTAAACTAAAGCATGACGTATCATCGCTTCACTCAAGTCCTGGTGCTGTCATCGGTGGTGATGACTATTCACAATCTCAAAGTTCAGCTGATGAATATGCTGGTGGTGGTGGTGGTGGTGGTACTAGTTCGACTTCTGGTGCTGGCGCTAGCACTGGCGCCAGTGCTGAAGTTAGCGGTTGGCGTAATTTTGGACGTCTGCGAAAAGCGCTTACACCGAAAAAGGTTGTACCAGATGGTCGATTGGTTGTTGATCGATTGAGAAAAACTCGTCACTTGAATAATGTTTTAATTGTTCGAAATGATTTAAGTCCTGGTCAGGTATTTGATCGAATCACTGCAGCTTTAAAACAACACTCGATACGTTTTACGCTAAAGGGGTCCGGTTTTCTGTGTGTGTGTTTGACAATGATTGGGGTAAAACAGTTCTGTCCTTTGAATTAGAATTAGTATATGTCTCAGCTCGAGCAGTGGAAGCTTCAGTTCGACGTCGTATGACGCTAAGATCTTCATCCCCTGGTGGAATGTCTTCTGTTCATTCCTCCAATAATAATGATGCTTCTATGAATCCATCATGCGGCATAAACACGAATACATCTACGACATCGAAAGGTTCTGCGTCAACACGTGGAGCATCCAACTCTCGTGATCAACATAGTCGTATACTCGGTATAAAAATGAAGCGTACTCGTGGTGATTCATTCATGTACACAAGTTTATGTCGTACAATTCTTGAGTCAGCTGATGTCCGATTGGATATTTGAAAGTTGTGTTTGAGTGTTATGATTATTTTTCAATTTTCGCAGTTAAGACAACACATTTCTCGATCTCTACTCCTATCGCTGTCCTCTATTCTCTCTCTCTCTCTCTCTCTTACTCTCTCTTGCTCACTTCTCTTCAAGCGTATGTGATAGCACAGATTTCACGCCTAGTTAACTGGAATTTTTCAACATATGTTTAAATTATAAAGACTAAATTTTTCATCTGATTGAATCAATAGTGCATCATGTAGTTTTACAAGGGTCCACGAGAATAAAGTTGATATATGTAAGTGCTTTTGATTTCACAGATGTTGTAAGTAGGCATTTTGAGATATGCATCTCAACAAGATCATGAATAAAGTTGCTAGTAATTTCATTTCATATTAAACAGACTAAATTATTGTTTGTTTCTATTATTTACTTTAGTGGTGGTGTTCTACTAACTTATTTTACAATTCAGAAAGTGTATGTTGGAGTCCTTATGACCTATTCTTTTCTGTTTGGGACTGGTGTCGGACTAGGATTCTCCGTCACTTTGGCTGTTGCTGCGACGGTAAATACCTTGATACAGATTTGATTTATCCGCAATACACAGTTCTCTAGCCAGTCACGTAACACATTTCAGTAAATTTTATTTTCATTCATGATTTCAGTACTGAAAGGTTAACGTGATATGGACACTTGTTTGATTTACTAAATGATAATCAACATACAACAGTTTGTGATAAAGAGTATAATTTTATATTCAACGTTTGTTATATGAAGTTAGAAAATTTTCCGTAACAATGACAGTTTCAATTCAGTGGTTCTAAATTCTGCTTTCGACTTAATTGAGAAATGTAGAGAAAGAAAATGTTTACTACGGTTCAGTTGGTGATAAAAACATAAGCTTTTATTTGGATTTTCACTAGGGTTTTAGTTACCACTGTCTAAAACTGATGCATCGGCTCTTTACCATCTTAAGAAGTATAATGTTCTAGGATAAAAATACACCTGATCTTATGATTTATTTATTTAAAAAACTAGGCGTAAAATCACTTATTAATGCATTTTTAAAATTCTCCAAGTACTCCAACGAATGAAAGTAATAGTTTCTCGTTTTTAATAAGTATGATGATGCTTTCATAGCAAAACATACAGAGATTTATCCTCTTTTGTTTAGTGGTTTCCTGAACAAAGAGGATTGGTTGTTGGGCTAGTAGTCAGTGGTTACGGAATGGGATCCTTAGTATTCGGTCCTATTCAAACGGCTCTTATAAATCCGCATAACGTGCGTGTAAACAATGTAACAAGGTAATTTGACATTGAAATTAAATTATTATTATTATTATTATTATGAACAGCTAATTTGAGTGATTTAATACTAACGAATGCATTCATATCATACTAGACTACACATTCTCACAACAGAGTCAACAAATAAGTAATGTATGAGGTGAACAGAAAGAACATGCGTGTCAAAAGTTCAAAGCACGTTGATCTGTGATTTTAAATGTCCCATATATAATTCATACAAATTATTTTGTAGCCTGTTTGAAGGAAAATCCTACTTTGTCTTATTAGTTGCAATCCGTGAAGATCGGAAAGTTGCAAAAGTGAAAGAGAATCTTTTCTGGTCTCTACTTCACTTTCCATTGGTAATTGTAATGAGTTAAAAGAAAAAGATGTAATATTTTGCTTCAATAAGTTATGTTCAGGGAAGTGATAACATCTGCGAGTACTAACGCTCCTCTAGTTTTCCTTCAAACGTATATGCGTAAATTAAAAGTGTAAATAAAAGGTAGAAATTTCCAAATGACAGTGAATTAAGTGACATTTCAAAATTCATCCATATAAAGTGGTATTTTATGATAGAAAATTTACAAAGTTGAGTAACTGGAATATATAAGTAATACACTGAGACAGAATTTCGTTGTTTACATACTTTACCTTCAAATTTTTATCGTATTTTTACTCAAAATCTGGTCATGATGTTACTCATTTTGATTATAATCTGGGAGAAAGCAGAACTGATAAAACCGACTTCACAGTTGTTCAAAACTCGTTCGATCTCAAGACAGACTCTGTTTATCTTAATGGACAGTAACGGTCATAAATTTTAGTCTTAACCGCAGGAAATTTACCCTGTTGACATTCAGTAATAAGCGATACGGACCGTTTAGGATTATTGAGTGTGGTGGATGAATGTTGGTGTACTCTAAGTGTTTCACCACTGATGGGGTGATGGGTGCACACTGATGAACAGTTCAAAACTATGAAGAAAATGCTGTCTGGTGCTTCCTGGTGATAAATGGTTCTGTAACTAATGATTATTCGGTGCAGAACCCACCATAAAAAAACCATATCCGGTAACCAATGTCAGCTTGTGATGTAACTATAAATATTATCGCTACATTTTTTATTGAAATGGAAAGTATGTGTCATAAAAAATGTTGCGAAATAAATTCAAACTGGACACTATCAGCAGAATGCTATTTTGAAAGTTAAAATTGAAATTTCAGTGCGACATGTAATTGGCTCATAAATATGGTTAGTCCATTGAAGAAGACTCTATATTTTGAAAATGGGGAAAAAACGTTCTCTTTATTGATGTAGGAGTGACGTAAATATCTGTGTATAGTTCTGTGACTGAAAACAACTACTGTATAATGTGTGTTGTATTCAAATTGAAAGATTCCTCAGATTCTTGGTGAGCGCTGAATACAATTAATTATCATTGACACCACAACTATAACAAGTTAATTTAAAATTATAGATTTGCTTTAGTTTTTTTATAATATTGGGTTTGTAGACAATTTGACAACAAGGAAATGCTTGATCGATTGCCAGATGCGTTTCTTATTCTGGGAGGTATCCTTCTAGCTACGCAGATAATTGGTTTTATATTTCTTCGTCCAAAGCCCAAGATGGAAGCTGTAAGTTTTATGTGATGCATAGTTTTTTTTAACTTTATATTTATCTAACTAAAAAGATGAGTGGAACTCATTTCATTATTCACTGACACATCTAATAATTTATGGAGAGTAATATCACTCTAACAAACAAAAACATATATTTCACTTCTTACTAAGTTTAGTAATGCAGATGTCACAAAGCCTGTTGGAGAAACAAATACCAAAGTTCATAGAGCATCAAAATGATCTCCGGGTTATTATCCAGCCACAAGTTTGGTATGCATGAATTCATGGTGTAACCTTCAAAATAAATACCTCATGGATGTGAATTATTATTATGATTATTCCATTAGGCTCCAAGTGAAACATAGGGCTTCAACAGCACACCTCCATTTCATCTTGTTCTTTACAGTGCTTTATAGTTGGCATCATGATTGCACATAAGCTTTCATCTGCTGAATGACATCCTTGCAGTACAAAACTTTAGATTCTGAATTATCGCTCAAAAAATCTGTTGGGAGTATAGTTTAAAATAAACTGAGTATGACAAGGAAATGCATGTGTTTCAAAGTTCTACAATTTGTCATTTGTAAGATATGATTTTTGTCCCTCCCAATTTGCTCAGTGAAATTTATATGACATTAGTCATGGTCAGAGTAATTTATCACCACTTCACATTTTGTAAGAAATCAGTCCTTCATTTTGAAAAATGATACCTTGTTGTAGCTTCCACAATACACAAAGGAGTCAAGTGTCTGTCACTTAGTTGTGAACTGCACTTAATAATCAGGTTTGAGTATAACTATTTGTTGATATAAGTATAAAACTTGGGCACTGTGGTAGGGCATAACTCAATTATGGATAAAATCTTATCCATAATGGAGTTATGTAACTATTTGTATTAGGGAATTCAAATAAAACTTGGATTAGTAAGTTTCAGCAACTGTTCATCTGCTTACCAGTACAATAAATAATTCCTGATAAGGAATGAAGTTCATGAAAGTGAATTCGTTAATACCCTAACCGTATTGTGAGACCTGAAACCTTTGAAGAGTATTATCATCCTTTACATAGCTGCTTATTTGACATATCTATATTTAAATTATGAAAAGTATTCATAGGATATAAATTTAAAAAAGACATAGACCAGCTAAAGATATTCTATTCGTAACTTCTCGTCAAAGCCGTACAGTTATATAATGTTGTGAAAGGAAGTGGAAATATTTATGTAGGTAAATTATTAGTATCAGTTAGTAGCAAAACATATGAAGAAATTACATGTCAGGGAAAATGATGAATAAATTATGAAACTTAACGTAATTTGGAAACATCAGGTGATGGATACTTCCCAGAAATGATTACTACATAAGCTGCAGGTGCCTGAGAACAGGAATACTGTTCACAAGAGTGATTAATAATGTGTATCGACTATATCTTAAAATAAAAGAAAGAAGGAAAAGAATGAGAAGAGAAAAAGTGGATGATCATGGATTTAACTAAGACGATAAAGGAATAGCTTCAGTATATATATATATATATATACACTCACCATTTTAAAACACATTTGATCAAACTTATATGGGCTAGTATTGGTGATACTGTCAACTATTTCTAATATGGACGCCCAGTATCTCCTAGCTTTTAATAGTACTGTATTTCTGTTAAATTTCGACTAATCGTATCTAAGAAATTATTTCTGTGCAAACCAAGATACGGATTTCTCATATTTATAGATAATACATATTTACAATATTTCTTCACTGGTGCATAGTTAGAAGAAGAATGAGTAACACCAGCTGATTTCAATTGCGAGCAATAGCCTTTAGTCAGTCAAATAAATTACTTATACCTTTAGATTCTAGGACAGAAATGCCAATATATCCACAGTAGCTTGTAACTGAAAGTAACCAATTTGACTTCTTGAAAATACATTCTAGTATGTAAATTGCACTTAAGGGTATTGTTTTAACAAGCCTTAAGGAATCAATATATATTTACCAAACCTGATTTTGATATAGGAAAGGTGACAACATCCTGTCAATATTACTACTGTTTTAAGATTGACAATCGAAACGTTATTGTAGCAATGAAAAGTATAGTTCTCTCTCACTGGATTTATTCATGTAATCAATGCAGGTTAGGTGAAGCTACGGTGACTATTGTTTAGTCAGATATATTTTAACCAGTTCTGTGTAATTCAGTTCAAACGTTTACAATACGGTTTCTGAATACTTTAGGTAACCTTCTGGTCCTTTTCCACTTTTTGAAACTTCCAGGTGGTATTTTTAAGACTATTGTATTGTTAAACATTTAACTCAAGCAAGTATAGCTTTGTAACACTACAAGAAGAAAAATTTGGTAAAGGAATGTTTACTTGCATTTTGGTATCTCCATATAGCGAAATTATGTATACCTTATCTTTAACACACCATTTGCACAGATCTTCTGTGTTGTACTACTTCTGGCCTTCATACTGTATTTCTTTGTGTTCCTTTCACGCCTACCATGTATCTCCTCAACGCTGTATCATTTGCTTTCTCTGACATAATCTATCTCCCTGTTATTTGATGTTTTTTATACCGATGAACATCTCTCATATACTGCTGATAAATCTTACCAATAGCACATGTCGCAACTTCTCAATGGTGTACAATACTGATTAAAAATGTTTTTTACTTTTATGTAGCGTATAAACTGTTGAACATTTTAGGCTGAATGCGATAAACTGCCCTAAGCATGTTTGATAGACTTGCAGCAGATGAATGTTTCTTTTTCATGAAATAAAAATACAGTTATAAGTAAGCTTATTCAACAAATAACAAACAGGCTATTTCAGGCAGCATGTTATCTAACTGACGAAATCCAAATTTTGGAGCTCGTACGCTTCACGTTATAAAATCTATATTCATCTTATGCTTGAAGTACTTTATTGTTTTGGCTGCCTCAAGTGAGTTGTCTGTCGAAGACTGTGATTGTTTTTCCTTCGGGATGCTGCCATATGCTACATATTATTCCATGTTGAACGATAACTTGACAACTAACTAGTATTGCTGCATGTCTGAATGATGTCAGTAACACAAGCTCAGTCAGCCAGTTAAAACATGAATAAATCTTTTCGTACATAACACATAAAATAACTCGACTATTAGGACTTAAACTTAAATCACTAAAATACTGAAAATTACTTTTAGTTGAAGAAATTACAATATCGGTTCTATTTATTCTCATCATCAGTAAGATGATGTTTAGATCTTTTGGAGCAGGTCATGTTAATTTAAATTTGTCTTTGGGAATTTTTACCTTTTCTACCTTCCTAAACAGAAGTTGTATTGAATTTTTCGATTACCTTAACCCTTTTTGTATATTTTTTCTATTAAGTATCTTACAATGTTTACTCAGATCCTCACGTATGAACACCTAAGTGAAATTTGTAAGAATTGCAGTCGTGAACAACAGTTATGACTGTTGATGGTACGTTAAAAATTTCAGAAATAAGACAATTCTGATTACACACTAACGTAATTATGTAAGCGGTGTCTAGATATTCAGTCTTTTATGTTTATCCCTACGTAGGCTAAATAACTAGTTAAACATGAGAGATTTACGTCAACCGCCATTGTAAACATTTTTTTGATATATTCCATACAGGTGGAAGAAATAAAAGAAACCGCAAGTGAGAAAAGTTCTACAAAGTATGAAACCGAAGATGATGTAAGTTTTGCTGAAGTATTTTAAGTGGTGTCGTATTTCTGATTTATGAAGTGAAAAGAGTTTGACAAATTCTTCTGTAAAGCTTTATATATTCGTAGAGTAAAATTTGGTGGTAAAAATTAGAATTCACAGAAATTTTGCTGATCAAAGTTTAGTGAACTCAGCAATGCAATAACTTTGAATGAACGCAACGTAAACTGCACCAGCTAATAGCAATCCGAAGATTCTCTTAACTTTAATTTGTTTAAAATTTTCATTATATACACAGTTGTTCGTGCGATTTATTACTAGAAAAAAAAAGATGTTTTATCGTCTACTTGCTACTTGATGTTATGTAAACAACCTAAACAGGACGGCTACTTCATGGTGTGTATTCATCTTGTTCTATTCGGTCAATTAAAAGTAAGAACTGAAAGCTCTGGTCTACAGAAGCTTCAAAAGTCTTTTCATAGACTGGTTAATATTTGCGTGATATTCCGTTAGTGAAGTAAGTGAAACCATTTGTTAATTTTTTTCACCATGGATTGGTTCTGAAATTAGCAGACATGATGACTCTTGTAATCTGTTGGACAGTGAGATATGGTGATAATAACTGCAAGTTCGAAGACCAAGTCAAAATCGTCCCATCTGAATACACAGGCAGATATAGCTAACTAGTCAGAGAATTAGACACAACCCCGTCAATGTACACAGTACGCCACATGACGCAGCATATAAACAGCATGAGTGCACATGTATTGATTCTGGAACCTGATTACTGTCTTTACCCTATTCCGGCTATGTTGTCTAGAATATTATTAACAAATAAAACCATTAAAATAATGATTTGAGCAAGTGACTACGTGAAAATAACACTGAAGTGTGGCAATTCTCATCAAAATAATGCATGATATTCAATTTGGATTAACTGTGGTCTTTGTAAGGAATTCTTTACGACAAAAACAAATATAAAGAAATTTTCATTAAGTTATTGGTAATTTGAATGGAAGGCATTTCTATAACACTCAAGTTCTGAAAAGTGTTGCCGATATTTAAATTGATGTAGAATCTAAATTTTCAAAGTTTCTTAGCTAACTCTAGTTAACCTTACAGTTCATACAATAGGCCTGACTTCTATAATATCTGGTTTAATTAGTACTGAATGTGTCATACTATCCTATTATGACCGATGATATTCTTATTTGTGGTGGACTGGATTATGCGTCAGACTGTGGGGGGTGAGGAGACAGGAATACTCTAGACCACCGATAAGAAAACTCCAGCAGATCTGGATTTCGCCAATGATGTGTCTAAGGTCACACAAACACGAAGGATTACAGGGAAAAAGCAACAAAGTGGCTGAAGAAGCAGTCAGTGAAGACAGAACTGTACGTGAACATAAAGAAAACGGAGATGATGAAGATAATCAACCACCAACAGCAGCAACGGGAATGATTTAACAGAGGTTACTCCTTTCGCTTATCTAGGAAGCATCGTTTCAACTACGGGCCAGTGGGACGGATGGAGATGTCAAAGTCAATCAGAATCGGAAAGTCAAGACACGCCTTCATCAACCTGATACCAGTTTGTAAATCTTCTGCACTCAGCATATGGAACAAGACTCGGATATTCAACACAAATGTGAAGTCGGTTAGTGCTTCTATACGGGTCAAAAACCTGGCCACCGTGTAACGAAAAGGATTTCCAACAGGCTATAGCAGACTTTTATCCACAGCTGCCTTCGCCGGCTCCATACCGAAGATCAAATCGCCATAAAGAATCAGTAACTAGTAACTCTTGGAACCAACCAAACAAAGGCCGATTGCTCAACAAATATGTAGGAGAAAATGGAAATAGTTCGGGCATACTTTGATGAGGCTGTCGAATGACATCGCGTGCCAGATCACAGCTCGAGTGGAATCCAAATGGGAAGCGACAAGTGAATGGTTGATGCAAAGGTAAAATGGAGGAGATCGAGCGACGAGCAGATGAGGGATTATGGGCAATCGTGGACCCAGCTGAAGACGACGACGGTAAATAGAAGAAAGTAGAGATGTGTTGTTGAAGCACTAAGTTCCACTCGGAACCCAAAGGAACAATAATAATCTCAAAACACTGCTGCCTAGAAATATGCATTTCTGAGATAAACGTGCACTAGATTATGCACTAGACTTTTGTGTTATTTCAAGAAATTTAAGTAAAATAAGTGAAACCATTTTACAAGAGACAGTTAGACAGAACAGAAGTGGCGAAGTAACAAATATATCCACCTACCCTGAAAAGTGATGATTACCCTCGTGTCGATATCCAAGTTATTCAGTATTTTCCGTCAAACAGTTAGTGCGAACATAAACAGGTAAACAAATAAGCCTAATCTTCATCAAGTTCATAAAAATAGTCCCTAGTTCAGAAATCTATACCAAGCTAATATAAAAGCAATTTCTAATTAACACATATACTTAAATGTGTATAGATACAACTAATATCGAGTATATAGTTGGTAGTCTTAGGAGGATTCAATTAACAAGAAACTCTTCTTGGTCTTGGTCACAAGTTTATTTTCACTCATTGTCAAACCAAATGTGCAGTGTATTCTCTACTGATTGACTCTTCCTGACAGCTAATATCAAACTACAGTACTATATGGCTCTCAACATTATTATTTCAATTGGTTTTATCGTCACTGTGAACGTTTGGTTGAAAGATTTTGATCAATACTTTTAATATGAAGTAGCTACACTGATCACCATTTCATAGGTGATTCGGACAAGTATGAAATATGGACAGTGATGTTTACAGTTTTTAGTGAAAGTTATAGCATTAGAGAAATTTAGCCTGAAACTACAAAATACTACAATTTCTTTTGTTTTGCTCATTTTGTTGCCTCAGGAAGTACAAATATACAGTTGTTATCCAGAGTAAGTTTTTTTTTTAAATTTTAGTTTTTACAGCTTTTTCTATGCCCAAAGGTTTAATTTCTATTCATTAAAGTTAACCAGAAATAATCATAAATGCAGGATTCATACGAGTAAAATCTTATATAATCAGTATATGAAGTTAATTTAAACTTTCAAGTACTGGTTTCGAAGGGATTTTGTTTGATTGATTGAAGGATTTCATCATGAGCTGACATCAGTTAGAGAACCATTGGAAATGGTGGGATTAAGAATTTTACGTGGACATAACAATATGTAACAACCTACCGATTACTTCTCTATATAGCTAGAAACAGAAATGAGTAATACAAACAGATAGTACGACTTTGTTTTCACTTGTTGGTAGTAATTGTAGTGTTTTCAAAGAGCACATTTTCACTGTCATATAACGTCCTACAAGTTCGTATATGTATGTGTTTAACTGAATAATACTTAGCTTTACAATCAAAAACGTTCGCATAGCTGTTCACTCGGGCTTTTCTAAGCAGTGACATAATGAATTATTCTTAAGTGCTGGACTGGTAGAGATCTGCTAGATTTCAAAACGGATTTCCTCAAGAATGGAATTCCACAAAACAAAACACTGAAAATCAGGGCAGGTATTAAGTACTCCTTTGGAACGCTTCAAAATCGTGCCTCCCATGACCTCACTAAGGATGGATCTCAGTACCTCAGGTTACGAGGCGAAGACATGACTATTTATCCACTGCTTTGGAATCCAATGACCTATGAATTTTAGGTTTTATTATTTAACTAAAGGGTACCGCTGCCGGTGATTATTGGTAGTTTGTTAAATTTAATCATATAATTGAAAACAGAATGACCGTCATTTTGTGAGCATGAACTTAGGAAATACTTAATTTAAAATCACACCCAATAGTTATTTTTCTTGCATTTACAGTTGGGTGACAAAATATAAACCACCATTACATCTTGCATAAAACTAGCAGTAAAGTTATGCCCACAAATATGACCGAATTTAACAAACACATAGTAAATCCAATGCACAATTTGCAGTCTACACAGTTCGAGTGGTGAAATTTCTTCCTTTCGAAACCAATGTATTCAGATCACTATATGTGATCCGCTTGATATCATGAATGGCAGTCTAGAAAACAAGCATATTCACATAAAACTATTTACTACTGATTAATTGAGATGATTAGCCGAATACCTTTCATATCAACTAGTAGTGTTTGCTAGCCGGATCAAGGTGACCTAAACACATAGACGAGCGAAATGGCCGCCCACTATTTGGATCACCTTGATCTGGCTAGTAAGCACTATCCACTGATATGAAAGGTATTCAATTAACCATCTCAGTTAAACAGTAGTAAAAAGTCTAATGCAAACATGTAGTATATTTTAATTTTAGAACTTTTAATGATTTCCAATTCTGTAATGTAGCACAATTTTAGGCATAACATCATCTATATTTCCAGTTTCTTGTTTGTAGTGGTCATTTTTTAAAATTTTTATTCAGTCACCCACAATTAGAGTTTCAGTGTGTTAATGTATTTCAAAACTAATCATATTCTGCTTTGATATTGGACGTTCATGCAACTAGCTGGAGTTTCAGTTAGTGGAGAATAAAAATTGTCTGGACACTACATATTTTGCAGCTATAATTTGTTAAGACGAAATGAAGAATCATCAGTTCAAAAAGTTTGTGGTAAATACCAGGCTTACAGATTTTCTTCGCTTATGATGATCTGTACAAAAATATATATCATGTATACTGGGTAAATGAAAGTCGGCTACAGCTTCCCTTTTCGTATCTGCTTACCAATAACAATATAGAAATTCTTTGTGAAAATATTTATCTAGTTTACATTATCCATTTAAAGATGCGCTGTTTATCTATAATGTTTGTTATCTTTCATCTTACCACTGATATACTTCAAACATATGTTAGAATTTTCAGCTCAAGTGAATTAAGAATTTTTTGTGGGCACTTCCTGTGATTAAGTCTGAATTCTTTCATGCTCATATGAATATCGAAATTTCACGTTTCCTAAAATCAGTTGTAATCAGAGCCCAGTTGTGACTAACATTAATTTCTTAAGTTAATCATCTAAATCTGTGCTAATTAAACTTATTTTAATTTTAAATTTAGCACTTCAAATCCATTTTATATATTGTTATACAATTTAAAGCTCACTGGACGTTACACCAGCCCAACTTTTTCGACATATTGATTTCTACCTGCTATGGTTCATTGAACTGTGCAACAGTGTAATGCTGACGGTCGTAACATCTGCTTATAAAGTGAGTTGACTGACGACTTAAACGTAAATACAACATCTGTTAGACTTTACATTCTGCCAAAAACAATTTTGTATTATAGCGACCATATATCAGGCAGTTAAAAATTTTATGGGTGATTGGAAAAGAAATGAAAATCCGTGTCACGGCATGGGTTGAAATTAGCGGTCGACCAATACCAGCCTGGTACTCTACCACCTGTGTACAATCATGCCTAAAAACAATCGTTCCATTAGGCAAAGCTGGTTAGCAGATTCAAAATACTGCTACTACCGTTTAAGAATTTACAAACTTTTGCTGCTGGAACTTCATGTTTCGAAGGCCTGAGATATCGATTTTTAAGTGCATCCATCTAATTTATTCTAGACATAAATCACTTTGTTTGGTTTCACTCTTAAGAAGATGTGCAAATTGACGTCTGGTTTTCTTTTCGCAGTGCTACACCCTCATCTAAACACAGATTCTTCCCCAAAAAGTCTTTCACTTTAAATAACTTCAGAACTCTACGTAAATGCAAACTCAATTTTTTAAAAATTTTTCTTATACATTTTCATGGTTAGCGAAACAAGTGACAAATGTTGAGTAGAAAACACATAACATGTAACAATTTGTCCTTTAAATTAATCAATGATCGGTCAAAGTTCTCATGGAGGGTGTTTAATACGGAAGGGATAAAATTGATAATCAAATCTACTAACTTACTTAGAAACAGGTTATGCTGTTCAAAGGTCTCTGTGCAGTCCATTAAACTAAATGCTTTACTTTATATAATGCCATGCAATAAGTTTGATTTGAAGCACATAGATTAATTGCGAACATAGCAAATCTACTAAGATAAGAAATCTAGAAAAGTGCTCAGCGATAGCACATTATATTTTGACACACAATAGGATCGCAAGCTGTAACAGTCCTGAGCTGTAATTAGGAATGTCATAGACGGAAATTGATGATCTAGGCTTGGTTTATGGCATAGAGTAAAAATACTTGTGACACGGATGATCCAATGTCTCTCCAGATGCTGTGAAAATTCTAATACGACAAGTGAAAGAGAATAACTAGTTTGCAATTCTGTGGAGTTATAGTAATGTAACTGTAAAAAACAAATTGTTTGCAACACCATTTGGTATACAATGCTGCCTCAGTATGTGCTCTGTGAAATTAACAAACTTATACGGAATAGCATATTGCCACAGTGTGCAAGTTTTACATCGATATATTCAAGATATGAAGAGTCTATGAAATCACTTTCACTTGATAAGTCTCTAGATAAGGAGCACGGCACATCTTTTGAAGGTGTTACATTTATGAATTCAAGTATTTGTGGAATATTTAATCAAGAGGAAATTAATTACTCAGACGTCAGTTAACTGCTTAAAGCTATTGATGAGTTATGATTTTCTGGATCCACAATACATAGCTGTGGAAAATATTTCTGAATACCATAAATCTTAATTTCAAGATATTTTAGTTTTAAACTGGATTTATTATCGCGTAGTCTCCTTTCGCTTAGTGAAAGTAACACCTGATTACTATAAAATGACTTATGTGTTAACTCCGCGCATTTTTAAAAATTAATTTTATAAATAATGTGTTTAACCATCACTCGTAAGTTTAAAAAGATAAGTGTACCAGGTTCATGAAAATGTTTACAATGTCCTCTATTATCTTTCGAGGAAGACGATTTTATACCATAAGCACTTTATAACTCTGAGTAGAACCTTTTCTGAATAATTTCAAACTGTATTAAATGGACCTGTCTCCTCTTGAATCTTCATGCTGATATTGACAAAAAGTATACGGTTTTCTATTTCCAAAAACAGTGAATTGAGCAATTACATTGTACACTGACCCTGGTTTTATTCTCATAATTACTGGGTGGCTTTCTTTGATTTCAGTTGTTCGGTCAAACCTTTATCAGTGACGACCAATATTTGACGGCGGCAGTTACAGTAGCCGCTGTTTTCAACGCTCTTGGTCGTATTTTGTGGGGATCAGCTGTAGATCGCTTTTCATATAAGGTAGCTTACATTATGATTAAACTTAAACAATATTAATATACACCAACATGTTACCTATTTTAATTACTTTTGTGATAATGCTCTCCTATTAGTCAGAAAGCCTCACAGCTTTATATAAGAAGTAATTGCCTGTTTGAGTATGACTAACGTAACATATTAATGTCATTTTCTACATTTAAAAATATGGATGACAAATTTAAGGCCACTCAATTATTCCCAATAATCCACAAGGTTTATTTCTTCATAGATCTATTATACCTGCAACACATTTCAAGGTGTTCTTAAAAGATGGAGCTTCTTTCAAAGTCAAACATATCAAGAGCTCAAAAAACACCCTTCTAAACATATTCTTCATTATCTTTTTATGTCTCCACATTTCAAGGACTAAATTTAAAAGCCCAAAAGTTGTGGGTGGGGGGAGCAAACTACTACATAGTGAACATCTGTCTTGACAAATACCGAGGTTTTACGTCTGAGCTACAGTTAATGCAAGTATCAAATGCTAAATGAGGTTATACTAAAACCTGCGCTGAAGATATTGTCCAGAATGACGACGATAGCTTTGCAATTAGATGAACTAGCTGAGAGATCACAACTAATTCAATATCATACACCTGAGCTAAAAATCTTCTCCATTATTGCAAAATCAATACCAGTTGGATTCCAAGTCATAAGTGAGGTGCGAGAAATACAAACAGCAAAATGGCATGTGTTAGGAGAATTTATGTATATATAACACACATGTAACTAATTCAGTACATGACCAACTAGGAGCCGGTGCCAATCACATGGCAAGCATACTTAGGTTTTTGAACAGTGTTCATGAGTCAGTATTTTGTCAACATTTTAAATTAAATAAATATATCGTATACATACTTAAGGTCAACGAGACTTTCCCCCTGTAATAGTTTTTGAGACATCGACTGCGGTCTTATATATATATATATATATATATATATACATGAGATGGATGCATCCATTAGATTTTCATGCTATGCACCGCAACATATGTTTCAAATATACAAACTCAATGAAAGGAATTTATTTCGCCAAACTTAAATGCTGGATATTTCACACTAGTTACACTGTCTCATGAAGCAATATTTAAAGCATTCGTTTGATGTAGTATGAGTGGTACAGATATGCACCTAGCATTAACCTATTACATAATATGTTAAAATAACCAACAGGTATCATTTAGCAAAATAGTTTGAGCTTTGTCCACTAAAATTATTGTATTTTGATTGGGATATAAAGCTTCAGCAGCAGATCTTCACCGTATACTCTTCTGTGCTATCACTTTTAACTAACCTCATAGCTGTCCACAAGCTTTAATTTTCTCCTCATATGAACTACCAGATGTCCTCTACGGATGCCAAACCCAGAATATTAATTTTCTGTCCACCGAAATCCTACTTATTTAACTGTGAAATTTAGACTGGTAATTTGTAGGATAATTTTAGTTTAGTTTAACACTGGTCATTCGATTTGCAAGGAGAAATCGTTCAAAGTCATCTATAAAGTCAAAAGAAGCCTTCCAAAATCGACAAGCTTCCGTATACTTTGTATTGCTGAAGCCTTAGCGATTTGGATGGAAAAGCCTGAGTTATGCACACAGAAGAAACTTCTCCACCCTCTCCTACTACCGTGGGTTTAATTTCAAGTTTATTTGTCATCAACATTTCGTTATCAAATTTTTTGCAATTTTTCCGTATAACAATTTTTAGTAACTAACCCATTCAATCTTTTCACCTATTATCTAGTTTATTTTCATAATTGTCTCCAAACTCCTTCACTAGCATCTAATCTTTCTAAACATGTCTATATTACGTAACCCTACTCACATCTTACCAATCTTCACCCCACTTAGTTACAACTTTGATTATTAATCACACATTTTAACTTCTTCATTATTTTGATGATATAATCAACAACCCACACCAACTGTTATTTTGATTTTGACAGACCTAATGTGCACACACACACAAAATAATTGTATATATATTTGCGACTGTACAGCTAAGTGAATGAATTCGCCGAAAAGAGACTCTTCGCTGAACTAATTTGTTCTTATTTCAATGTCTTAATGGGTATATTTCGCGAATTAATTTTAGTTTCACTTCCAGAATAGCGAATTGCAATTCAAAGTGTTTATTTGATTTTGTAAGCTCATACTGCCTACACTCCAGAAATGATAACTTAGAAGGTTATTTTCAGAAGTGTTGACCAGAATCCAAGAATATAGTTTAAATAAGTATTATCAGAGTACAGTCTAGTCTTTAGATATCTTACATAATGTTTGTTAGGTGATAACAATCTAAAGCTGTCATTAGTAATTAATTCAAGTATCATTATTTATGTATTTTTCTTATTATTTTTTCGTAATTTAGATTCCTCTCCTCATAATCAGTTTGACATGGGCAATCCTTCTCTTATCTTTCCCCTTCATCAGTACAGCAAGTGAATTTACGGCAAAAGCACTTTTTTGCTTTTATGGTATTGGAAATTTCCTTTTCCTGAGTAGTATATCAACAATTGCACCTGCAACTGTGGGATCAATGTTTGGATGCAAACATATGGCTGTAAATTATGGGATATTAGCATCCGCACGAGTAAGTAATGCCATTAATGATAAGGTTTACGACTTTACTGAGCGAAGTTCTGGGACAACATGGTTATTATTTCCAACTAATTCTTATGATTTACAACTAAGCAACAAAGCAACATAGTGGTACTTCACTTGGTGGTGTGATGATATTGTAAGCTCATTCAAGAATGCTAAAGATATATTTATTAAGGTGCAGTCAATAAGCTGACCACATATCACCAATGGTCTTCTAATTTATAGAAGTTCAGGTGAATTATACTAATATTTAAACGTCTTGTAATCCCTCATATTTATTTCTTTTACTTAAATCAAATGATGAGATTGAATTCGGGAAGGATTAATTTACCTAAAAGCAGGGTTTGAGCAGATGATAATGG